AAAATTATGAATTAGCTTATGATTTCAAAAACCTTTTAGTAACAATCGCTTCTCAGCCTTTTGGCTAAGACCAAGTATAAAAAACCTTTTGCTGTATTTGATATGGATCCCTTCCCTCCCATTCTCACCCTCTGGACTGTGGTCATTTTCACTTGCTCCCACGCAGGCAATATTCCCACGTCATTTGACCTGTATCAGTCTTGGGTACCAGAGCGCTAAACGCACAGCAGTGGAGCCCGCCGCTGTAAGTGGCGGGACGTGCACAGCGTAGACACTCCGTGCACCTCTGCTGAATGAATGAGTGAATCCTTAAGCCGAACTAACTGATATTTTGTCCTCTGCAGAAAAGGGGCCTTGCTGTTCAACAACATATTTTCCATCGTGCCTGCGATCTTAATGGGATGCAGCAAAATCGCGAAGTCATTTGAGCTTATAATTGTTTCCAGACTTTTGGTGGGAATCTGTGCAGGTAAAGAGTGCCCCGCTGTGCCGCCATTCTGTCAGGATCACCCAGGAGGAGTGGCTCCCGGGGCCTGAGCCCCTCCGGGTCTCTGAAGCGACTGGATTCCAGCTGCTCCTGTCCCTCTGCTGGGAAAAGGATGTTTGAACCCCTAGTTGTCCTCACGGCAGGCAACAGGCAGGTCTTTGCTGTGAGGTTTCCTGCAAAGAAAGCTGTTCTTTGCAAGACTGAAATACAGAATCTTAAATCGGGAAGGGTCCTTCCAATCCAATCCTTTATCTCAGTCTTTTCTAAAGCTCAAGACTTCAGACTGCAGGTGGAGACCAGTTAGTGGGTGGTAACATCTGTGTAGCGAGCAGCGTCTTCTTTTTAAAAATAGACTAGACTGTGTCATATGTATTGTCCTTTGAAACTTTTATTTCAGTTATTATCTATGTATGTATGGGACAACCAGGTTGCAGTGTAAAATGCATTTCTGTATTTTTTTACTGTGGGTCGAGGTCAAAAAAGCTTGAGAAACAATCTAATATATGAATCCCTTTACTACAAAGGTGTTAACAACAGCAACTTCTCAACTGTTATAGGACAATTTAAAGTTTGCAAAGGGCTTTGGAGAGAACACTCATTCCTTAAATGCCCGCCTGCTGAGGAGGGTGATGACTTGCCTGAGGTCTCACCTAATGCTCCGTGGAGCCGCCCAGGCTGTACTGCGGTAGTTTTAGAAAACTCTCCCATGATCTCTTCAAACTGAAGAGAAAGGAGGTTAAAGCCACGCTCGTGGCTTTCCCCCGAGTTGCTGTCAGTAGGCAGCGTTTCCCACGGCCAGACACGGAGAGGCATCCAGGGTGCAAACCCTCAGGGCCTGCCAGTGCAGGCTGGGCACCTGGGAGTGAGCACCTGGGCACCCCACCCGCCTCCCTCCGGCCAAGGTCCCAGCATTGCCAAGGAACCCTCATGTGCTCCTTCCAAATGCAGGGATGGGGACAAACAGATGTCAGCAAACCCCTCGGCTGGAGTTAATTGGCAGTAACGGAGAAGCGAGAGCAAGAGGAGAACGTGTTTCCTGAATAGAGACTAAGTCATTGCAAGGGGAGCGGATGGGCCCCCGACTTCACGTAGTGCTGGGCTTTCCCGGAGAGGGGGCTCTGCCTTCCGATCTTCCCTGCAGGGGGCTCAGGTTTTTGAAAAATGGATGATTCCTAAAAGTCGTCAGCAGTGAGCAGGTCCAGGCACCTTTCTATTGACCACCAACAATTCAGAATTGGTTGCCACACAGGAATCTCAGGCTCCAAGAGATAACAAATCAGTCAGAAGCCCTCACCTTTGCTTCGGTGAGCGTGGCTTCCAGTCTGTGGGTCTCAGAATTTCGCACACTGAAAATGATGACAGCTCCAAAGAGCTGCGCACGTGGGCTACACCGATCAACGGGCACCACATCAGAAGTGGCAACCGGGAGATGTAGTAATTCATTTTACAAAATAAGCCCATTACAATTTTGCAAATCTCTTTAATGTCTAACTTGATAGAAGGCAGCTGGATCCACAGACCAGCTTCTGTGTTTAGTCAGTTGTGGCATTGCCTGGCAGGTGGCTTCTGGAAAACTCCACCGTATGCTTGTAAGAGAACACAGATGAAAAGGGCAAAAACCATCTCAGGTACATTTGGAAATAGTTTTGATCTCACAGACGCCCTTAAAAGGTCTCAGGAGCCCCCCACTTCTCAGACTGTGCTTTGCGAACACGAGCCGCTGGGTGCAAAGGCCGCTGGCAGTCAGTCCTGAAAGCCAGCGGAGCGGATCACCAAGCCCCACGCCGTAGACGCTCCTGTTAAAACCACCCACGTTAACGTGGGCCACGCAGGCCATGCCGCCACTGAAGCAAGCAGCTGCTCTGACCGGGGCGCAGAGATGACTTCGACTCGGACTTCCAGGGCTCACAGTTCACTGGTCTGTTATTAGTCAACTTCTTGGCCAGAAAACTGAGGGTATTTACTGGCTCGAAGGAATTTAAACTTGAAAAGCCACTGTGCTGTGACTCTAGTATCAGAACAAGCTGGCTGGAGAGCCCGGTGGAGTCATTTTTAAGTCAAAGTAGAGATTGCTTTCCACCAACATAAAGGCAATCCTGTCTCTTCACAAACCTCTCGAGGTTTGCCACTTTATTTATGTCCTTGATCAAGGTAAGACTCAGATGCCATGAAGAAGCGCAGTTACGTGCCCAGGACTAAGCTGGCACCCCCAGGGTCTCAGCTTCCAGAAGGCATTGCCCTTCCTGTGCAGCCCTTCGGGCACGGGCCTCCCACCCCCCAGACATACTAAGGACTGCTTTAGACACTGCCCCTATTTGCTCTGAAAATAGGGAAAAAATTGGTACTAAGGAATTGTGCTGTCTCTTTTAATACTAAGCAGAGATGTCCTTGGGCAGAATTGCTGAGCAGGAAAACCCGGCCTTAGGTACCTCCTGTCTCAGCGTCGTCAAATACCCACTCCCAGCCCACACTCTGTCCCCTGCAGTCTCCCTGCGTGGCTGGAGCCTCCCTCTCAGGCCCCCACGTCTTTCTGAACCTCAGCTTGGCCCGAGACTAGGTGTACCGTAGTGCACTTGATAACAACCCCTCTGCGCTTGCTCAGAGACCCCCAGGCTCTCCGTGTGCTTTTTGGAGAATGGAATGGGACAATATATATGAAAATACTTCACAGTCTGTAAAATTAAATTCCACCATTCTTAAAAGGGTGTCAGATTCCAGTATGATGGGAAAATTTACAAGTTGTTCAGAAGTAGTCCAGGCATTACATAAATCCCAGAAATGCAGATATGCCACAATATATGTTGAGATTTTTAATGTTCATTGATAAATACAGCTTGTCCTTAAATGCATATGAAGGCATCTCTGCATTCGTTTGTCGTACAATGCACTATTCCTGCGAGGTAAGGCTGTGGGCAGGCTCTGTGGCCTTTTATGAACAGATCTACCCGGGGAGCAAGAAAGGAGAGAGTGTCTGGACCACAGCTGGGCTTCTCCTCTGTGAGACGCAGGCCAGGCAGGAGGGAGGACCCGAGGTCTGGCTGGCCTGTGCCCCACGGTGCGGCAGCAAGGACCCCTGTTCATGGGCTTCTTCGGTCCGTTTTCTCTTCCCTGGAAGCATAAAGGGCTAAGAATTAAAAGAGGCGTTTGCAGTCTTGAGAGAGTTCTGGCCCAAATAACGTGATTGCTAAGGAAGAATAAATACATTTGAAGACACAGCTTGTTCCTGCCTGACTAATTTGTCCTGATGGTGTTTTTCTTCCAACCCTCCCAGGTTTGTCTTCCAATGTTGTCCCCATGTACCTGGGAGAGCTGGCCCCTAAAAACCTGCGGGGGGCTCTCGGGGTGGTGCCTCAGCTCTTCATCACTGTCGGCATCCTCGTGGCCCAGATCTTTGGTCTCCGGAATCTCCTGGCAAATGAAGAAGGTGGGTTCAGGACCCCCAGCCTCCCTCGACCCCTCCTCCCACTCCAAAGGCACTGCCACAGGGAGGGACGTTCCTGTGGGCTGGCCTTTTCTCTCTCATAGGCTGGCTGTCCTTGGGGCCCCCACAGTGCTCTGAGCCCACGGTGCTGGCGGCTGTCTGGCACGAGGCAGGCCCCACACAAGCACAGCGACAGCTTGGCCAGTGTTTTCTAGTCCCTCTCCGGAGATGGGCAAGGTGGCCTTAAGTGATTCGGCTTCTCTTGGCCTGCTCAGTGGCTGTCCATACAGAAGTCCACGGCGTAGCAGTGACAGCCACCAGTGCGCCGGGCTCTGAGCTTAGGGCGTCCCTGGCACGGTTCACAGGAACCTCCAGCACCACTGCTGCCCAGGGCTGCGACTGCCCCACTCCACAGACCAGAAAGGGAAGCGCCAGGCGCCAGGGCGAGCTGCCCCCATGGGTGAGGTGGTCAGTACAGCCCAGACTCTGCCTGCACCTTCCTAAGAGCGCCCGGGGCCTGGCACACAGTGGGCTCACAGGAACTCGTACCTGGCATCGTTTTCTGTGACCTCACCTTTCTTTGTGTTGACTCTCAAACCTCTGACAGGGAAACCATCATTAACCATCACACCAGCCAAGACAGATAAAGTGTTTACCACGGGCCGGGTGCCAGGACTTTGTGTAGATTCGTGCCCTGCGAAGCCTGTGCTATCCACACCCGCTTCGCAGATGCAGGCCCTGGGGCAGGGAGGGGCTGGGGAACGCGTCCAAGCTCTCAGTAAGACACAAGCCCAGCAGCTCAGGCGTGGGTCCGGGTGTAAGTACCGCACCCTCCTCCCTTTCCGTCACTCCCGCAGGCATTCGGCACACGTGCACTGAGGCGCCACACCCTCGCTAGACGCAGGGACCAGAAGCGAATAAGCTAGATTCCTGTGGGGGTTGTAGGGAGCACCCCCAGCGGGACTCAGAGCCCCACGTGCGTGCAGCTCTGTGCTGCGAGTCATTTCCTTGCTTTTGCCTCCTGTTTCACCTCTGGCAGTGATGGGGTTAATTTTACCCATTTCTGAACTCTGTGTAATGGAATCACGCTGTAGATTATCGCGTGCCACATCCCGTGCGTGAGATGTGCCCGAGTCGTGGCGGGCTTCACTTTCGCTGCAGTATCGAGTTCCATTTTACGAGCCCCCCACGACCTCGGTATCACCCTAAGTGGACTGTCGTGCACGTCTGCGTTGTCTCCGGTGTTCATTTCTACAATCAGTGCTGCCGTGGCCATTCCGCTTCAGGTGTCCTGGTGGCCCAGGCACAAGCATCTCTGGGCATAGCAGGGAGTGTGCCCAGCTCCTCAGCCCCTGCCAGACTGTCCTCTAACGCAGCGATCCCCAACCTTTTTGGCACCAGGCACTGGTTCTATGGATGGCGGGCAGGGTGGAGTGGGGATGGTTTTGGGATGATTCAAGTACATCGCATTTATTGTGCAGTCAAACCTCTCTGCTAATGACAATCTGTATTTGCAGCCACTCCCCAGTGCCAGCATCACCACCCCAGCTCCACCCCAGACCATCGGCCATTGGATTCTCATAAGGAGCTGCAACCTAGATCCCTCGCATGCGCAGTTTACAGTGGGGTTCTCTCCTGTGAGAATCTAATGTCACTGCTGACCTGACAGGAGGCGGAGCTCAGGCGGTGATGCCAGCGATGGGGAGTGGCTGTAAATTCAAATGGAGCTTCTCTGGCTGCTCACCTCCTGCTGTGCGGCCCGGTTCCTAACAGGCCACGGACCAGTACTGGTCTGCTCCCGGGGGTTGTGGGCTGCAGCTCTAAAGGACACCACGTGTCTGCACAGCGACATGCGGAGACTTCCCCTTTGCCCACGTTGGTGTTGTCAGACTTTTCCACTTTGTCCATCCAGTGGGTGTGCGGTGGTCACTCACCACTCGGCCGTGCCGTGTTCCTGAGGGTCCATTATGCGGGAGGCGCTGTTCTAGGTGCTGGGGTCCAGGGTGAGAAAGACAAGTCTCTGCCCTCCTGGAGGCTGTGTCAGGACTCGGGTCACGGGGCAGAGAGGGGCTGGCTGGGCACAGAGGGGTGGAGGGGCACACACGCGGCTGGCTGGCCGGGAGCCTCTCGTGCCAGCAGCTGCCTTCCTCCTAGGCTGGCCCATCCTCCTGGGGCTGACCGGGGTGCCCGCGGCTCTGCAGCTGCTCCTGCTGCCCCTCTTCCCCGAGAGCCCCAGGTACCTGCTGATCCAGAAGAAAGATGAAGAAGCTGCCAAAAACGGTAACATCGGCCCGGGCGAGGGGCAGGCTCGGGGCTGTGCCCAGAGGCTCTGATCTGACACCCTGCGTTGCCACCCTCAGCTCTGAAGAGGCTGCGCGGCTGGGACACCGTGGACGCGGAGGTGGAGGAGATCCGGCAGGAGGACGAGGCGGAGAAGGCCGCGGGCTTCGTCTCGGTGCTGAAGCTGTTCCGGATGCGGTCCCTACGCTGGCAGCTGCTGTCCATCATCGCGCTCATGGCCGGCCAGCAGCTGTCGGGCGTGAACGCGGTACGGGGGCAGCCGCAGGCCCTGGGGCAGAGGCGGTGATGAGACTCAGATGGCAGCGCCTTCCTGCAGTGCTCCTCCCCAGCCCCTGCCTTGTCCTTCCAGATCTACTACTATGCAGATCAGATCTACCGGAGCGCCGGTGTGGACCAGAGTCAGGTCCAGTACGTGACAGTCGGCACGGGGGCCGTCAACGTGGTGATGACCTTCTGCGCTGTGAGTGTCCCGGGGAGCTGAGGGCCCGTCAGCCACCAAGGATGGAGGGACATCTCGACCGTGGTAGGGGTTGGACCAAGGAAGGAGCAGGATGGAAGGGCCCACGCCCCTGCCTCTGGGCTCTCCTGTGGGGCCACCTGTGGCCCCCACTTCAGATGTGCCCACCCAGCAAGGTGACTCTGCTCCAGCAGCTCACATCTGGGGCTGCCCAGCTATGCAGGGGCCGAGCTACCCGAGCTGGGGGCCACAGTGTGACAAAAGTGTCTGGGGCCCCGGCAATGGGCGCAGAGCCTGGGTGGGACCTGGAGTGAGCCTCAGCCACCCCGGGTGGAACCAGGCCCCCGCGGGCTGGACTCTTAAGCGCATCCGGTGTGTGGCTTCCAGGTGTTGTGAGGACCCTAAGATTTGGGGCTGAAGGCGTTAGGAGACCCTAGGGGTGGGGTCTCATTCAGGTGTGGGCCGCCGGGCCCAGAGACACAGCCAGATGCCCCACTGGCCACCAGGGGCACGTTCTGGCAGGTGCGTGTGGCCCCCCTGACTCTCCTCTCCGCGGCCGTGTCAGAAGGACGAGGGGCTTCCTCTGAGCAGGTGTCCCCGCAGGTGTTCGTGGTGGAGCTGCTGGGCAGGAGGCTGCTGCTGCTGTTGGGCTTCTCCGTGTGCTTCTTGGCCTGCTGCGTGCTGACACTGGCGCTGTCGCTGCAGGTGAGGGGGCTGCCCGCAAGGCCCGGCTCTGCCCCCGCCCTGTTAAAGGAAGAGGAATCAGAATGGGTTTGTTGTAGCAAATACCACCAGTCAGACGTCTGGGGACTAAGTGTGCACCCACCAGTGGCCCAGGGCCCACTTTCCGCAGATTTCCCGTGGCTGGTGAAGGTGGCACTGCTGAGGAGGGGCCAGGCGCTGTCCTCCCCCAAACAGGGCAGGTCGGCTGCCCCTGAGGGCCGAGGTTCCTGAGGTCCCGTCCCAGCTCATCCTCGCCGGGCCAGGTGTGAACCGACCGTTTCCTCCCCCAGGACACAATATCCTGGATGCCTTACATCAGCATCGTCTGCGTCATCGCCTATGTCATAGGACACGCCCTCGGGCCCAGTACGTACCAAAGCTGCCCCTCCCCGCACCGTCAGTCCCTGCAGCTGCAGGCTAAGCTGCGAGAGGCGCCAGGGAGCCCCAGTGCAGCTCCGAACTGGCTTCTCTCCCCTCCTCCTGGGGAGGGGGCTGGGTGGAGCACAATTAGGGGAAAACAGCAAAGGGAACACATGGCCTGTGCCCTGGCAGAGTGGGCTCCACAGGGGGTCACTGGCCACGTCCAGGGCCGTGAGGGGTGTCGTCCGTGGTGCCGCCGTCATTGCACACTCTGATCGCCGCCCACAACACCCTCCCCAGGCCCGATCCCCGCGCTGCTCATCACCGAGATCTTCCTGCAGTCCTCCCGGCCATCCGCCTTCATGGTGGGCGGCAGCGTCCACTGGCTCTCCAACTTCGTGGTGGGCTTGATCTTCCCATTCATCCAGGTGAGCGGGACCCAGGCCCCAGATTCACAGCCCCAGCTAGGTAAAGCAAGGACCGGTCACCAAGCCCGGTCCCCCCGCCCACCTCTTCCCACAGGAGGGCCTGGGCTCCTACAGCTTCATCGTCTTCGCGGTGATCTGCCTGCTGACCACCATCTACACCTTCATGATCGTCCCGGAGACCAAGGGCAAGACCTTCATAGAGATCAACCGCATTTTCATCAAGATGAACAAGGTGTCAGACGTCCACCATGAAAAGGAGGAACTGAAGAACCTTCCGCCCGTCAGATCGGAGCAGTAACTCAGGGGAGAAGCAGCCTGTGTAGCGAGTCCATGTGGGGCTTCCCTCTTTGGCCTTTTCTTCTGACTTCTAGTTGTCTGCGAACGTCCAGAAATAAGCCAAGTCTGGCGTGGACCGCAAGCCTCAGCCCCGGCCGCCACCCCCGTGGGGACTGTCCGGGGCATCCGTGGTGTTCTAGAAGCCGGGCCGACTCGCTCCTGACTAGCCTGAAGTGCACCCAAGTCAGGCCAACAGCTCTTGCGCCTCCTGGCTGGGTTAGCTGTCGTGTGGCTCCCGATAACACAGCTTTTATAACAAAAATAGGATTAAATTTTTCCAGAGAAACTAACTCTTCTCTGAGGCCCCCTCCTGGGGCCACAGGCATTCGTTTAGAGCCAAATTCATCCTCTTATCACATCCTCCAGAAACAACTGTTTTGGAAAGTTGGAGGTCAGAAATAATGACATCTAGAAATCTGGGGAGCAGGTCCCTGTGGAGATATTAACTGAGTTGGAATTATTCTAAATTATATTGTCAATGGGAAATGGAATTGCTTCTGTACAGCCAATAAAAGAAAGCTGATCACTTTTCACTCAGGTGTGCTTCTTTCCTGGAGCAGGTGGAAGGCAGGTGGGTCTCTGCTCCTGAAGGCGTCTGACTGCACTAGGTGCCAGCTCCTTGGGGGCAGGGCCTTGGCCCTTGACCCTGAACCCCAGTGCCTGGAAGGGGCCCGGCCTGGCGGGACTCTAAGACATATCCACTGCCAGAGAGGTAGAGTGAGAGATGAGGTGGTAGCAAAGCTGTGAGTTTCTGAGTTTAAGACTAGGGAAGCCTCTGCATGTCCTCAGGTGTGTAGTGAGTATTGAGGGTCCTGAAGGTGAAGACTCAGGGGTTGGGGGAGGAGAAGGAGCGGGTGCCCCCTCACCACAAATATGGCAGAGCTGGAGGCTTTTCTTAGAGATGTAAATAAAGCGGTGTGTTTCTGAGAGAGAGAAGAGGATGTGTACAAAAATATAGAGAAAACCTTGAAAGTGCCAAATAGCCTGTGGCAGGAAGTGATGTCTCCTAGAGTTGGGAGGCAGAAGCCGGGGGCTGGGCAGGATGGCATAGGTACTTGGGAGCACCTTTTGTGGATGTAGAATGAGGATTCCACCAGCAACAAGTTAAATAACTCTCAAGAGCAGTTATTGCAGACCCAGAGGAAGTAAATGGCATAACACTGCGGTTGAACCGTCCTTGACCTTCCGTGGCAGGGGTCTGCCACGTGGAAGGGGCACAGAAACAGCCAGAGACGTGGCCGCTGAGGAGCAGCCAGGTCAGGATATCAGAAGTCAAGGGACTGCAGCACCTCTAACACGGGGGCGCTGGCGAGTTGATGATTCTGGGTAACTACCCCAGGGTTCAAACCTTGGTTCTGCCACATAGTACTTGGGCAAGTTACTTAGCTTTTCTGTACCTCAGTTTTCTATTAAATGGACCTAATAATAAATGTCTCATATGGCTGTTGTGAGAATTAAATGACTTTATATGTATATAGTGTTGAGATCATTGACATGTATTAAGTGCTCTTAGGTATTTATAAGTGCCTGGGAATGCACATTAAACTGAAGACAAATAAACCCGCAAGTGAGACGCGGTGAGAGACCATGTGCAGGCATCCTGGGATTGAACAGTCGAGTAGGTGGGTGGCAGACAGTGGGAGCCACCTCCCTGTTACAGTGGGAGGTTACACACAAGCAACGAGAAGGAGTCTAGAATGACCCATGTGGTAACAGATTAGACTTGCAGACTTTGGTATGAACTCGTGCAGCTTGATGTAGATTCAGAGGGCTACATATAGAAATGTTTATAGATAAGCATCTATACCTGGATTAGTAAAATACAGCAGGAGGAGAGAGGCATGGGAATATAGAAGGGAGGCAAGGAATTCAGAAAGACAAGATTTTCCCAGTTGGAGGAGGTGCAGTAGGAGGGTGAAGCATGAATGTTCTGGCTGAGAGCACAGAGATGAGGAGAGCTTTGGGGGTGCTCCAAGCAGTTTGGTCCGAAACTGAAGTCAGAAAGGTGGAGTGCTGTCTAGATCCTGCAGGTCCTCGTGGGCCAAGCTGAATTGGACTTGATCATCAAGATAGTCCTGGTGTTCGGGGAGTGCGTGGCGGTGGCGTGGAGGTGGGGCCTGGCAGGGAGACCGTCGGTAAGAAACAGTGAAAGCCCAGTAAAGCCAGTGGTGGTTGGGACCAAACGTGAGGGGCACTCCAAGAGTGACTCAGCAGGATTCAGGGACCACTCAGCCCTCAAGGTGAGCAGTCCGGGAACCCTGCCAGGTTTCTAACGTGGGCGCATGGGCAGTGGTTGAGGGAGCTAAGTAGCAGGTTTTGGGAAAAGTTCGTATAATTTTTGGACATGTTGAAATGGAGGAGCTTATGGGACACGCAAAAGATGTCCACAAGGAAGTTGGCGTGTGGCTCTGGAGCTCAGGAGAGCAGGGACGTAGTTTGCAGGGAAACCATAAATTCGTTAGCACTTCCGTGTGCCAGGCACTGCTCCAGGCTGCGGCAGTGAAGAAAACCATGTCTCCTGAGAGGCGTGGTAAGGAAAACTACATTAGCCTCGGGTGGCGGGTGGGGGAACTGCCTGAATGGAGGGCAGGAGCCACCCCAGAGGCAGTGGAGGGACAGCAGATACGATGTCTTGGGCAGGGGAGGGCTGGCCACGGTTCAGGGGATGACAGGAGGCAAGTGGCTGGAGCAGAAAGGGGGAGGTGATGGAGGAGGGCGGTGCTGTTCGGACGCTTAGCAGGGCCTGGCGGCGGCAGATTCTGCTGCGAGTGTGACGGAAAGCCACTGGCTGATTTGAGCCAGAGTGTCCTGATCTGGTCTGCAATTTAAAGAGTCATTCCAGCTTCCCTGGAGAAGAGTCTGGGGGAGCCCAGGAGGGAGCAAGAAAATCAGATCCTTCCCAGACATCCGAGCCGAGGTCAAAGCCCCACGTTTGCAGTCAGACCGGGAGGAGGATGGGTGGGAGGTGGCACACCATCCAACAAGGGGCCCAGGGAGGCTGGCGGAGAGGAGGGAGCCGCCAGCCCTACGATGTGCTGGGACCAGAAAGGAGCACCCCTTGGGTTCAACGACTCGGTGGCCCCAGGGAGAGCAGTGTGAGGGGCGAGGCAGGGCAGACTCCTGGGGCGAGGACGCAGGCGAGGCAGGAAGATGGATTAGAAGCTCCAGTTGTTTAGCATTCACTCCCTCCCGGTGCTATTCCTGTTTGAGCCGCTGTTTGTCACTTACGGAACATGTACATGCATGTTACATATTAAAAAGTACGTGTAATGGAGGTTTGTAGTCAAAATTCTCTGACGGATGAGGAGGCACGATCGAAAAAGTTTGGAGACCATCGGGGGCCAAGCAGGCTGAAAAGATAAGCGAAGGCGGAGGAGAAATGACACTTTGGGAGAACTGGACGATGTCAGGAAGTGGGAATCAAGGTCAGGGCGTTGACAGGCGAGAGAGATGGGGCTGAGCAGGGTTACAGACCCGCGGCTCACTGCTGTATCCACAGCGCCTAGAACAGCTGCCAGCACATAGTAGCGGCTCATTAAATGGTTTTTGAATGAAGAGTCTCAGCTGGGAGGATTTTAAATGGTCACAGCAGAGCAGGAAAGAGCAGAACTGGGGAGAACGTGCCAGCCCTGAGGTGACATGCTCATAACCCATATCAGGCAGTCGGAAGGTAGGTTTGACCGCGGTTTCCACACTTCCGGATTTCAGACAGAAATGTGGTGGACTAACCTAGGGCCGCCTACTTTTTATTTTGCAAATAAGAACATTAAAAGCAAATTGACTCCCATTAAAGATCAAAATGAGAAAAAGACATTGAAAAAGAAAGAGCATTTTCCTATCTAGGAAGGATGTAATCGCAGAATACATTTCAGTCCTTTAAACTGACCAGATTTTTCTTTGTGAAAACCTCACTCCATTGCCTGCATCCTAGTGTTGCTCAACCCACCGGGACAGAGACATCAGGAGCTGGGGTGGCAAGTGCGTCAGCTGCTTCCGTTATGGAAGGAATGGAGGCCTGACGTTCTAATCTGGAACGTTAGTGAAACAGTCTTGTCTCCTTCAGTCTGCTTTCTCCAAGGCTGTCCCTGAGCTCCCGGAGGAAGAATGAGGAAGCAGAAAGCTGGTGTCCTGACACCCGCATTTGCATGACTTTCATGGTAAAAATAGGTGAGATTTGGTTCTCTTACCCTTGAACCTTTCCTCTTTTCCCCTCCTCCTAGTCCTCAGCCAGTGGGTTGAGTGCTTGCTGAGGGGCGGCTCTTGTCATCCCACATTCTGCCCCGGGGCTCGGAAGTGATACATCACGGCATCTCTGTCTTCGGGAATTTGTAGTGTAGCCAGGGAGAGAAACGCCGCATATGCCTTTTGCGTCCTTGTGCGACCACCGAAAGTTCAGCTCTTGTCCTTGAGTCCGCATCAGAAAAATGAGAATGAAGGGTTTGAAGAGAAGGAAAGAAAAGTTTTATTAATTTGCCAGCCAATGAGAAGGATGGAGACTCTTGTCTGAAATGCCATCGTCCTAATAACAAGCAGAAATTCCGAGCTTTTAAAGGGAGGGTTCTCAGCTTCGGGCAATTGCTGTTCAACTACAGTTAATGATGCCGATCGTCCCGTCTCCCATCTCGGTCCCATCTCACTGAAGACAATCTTGTGACCTCCACCCAGCACCTCCCTGGCCAGATCTGGGCTGCGCCCTCTCCTGTAGCACAAAGAACAAGACATTCCCCTGCCCCTCCTGACTCCGGGCCTGAGGCTGGGATGCAGGATTTAGTTCTCAAAAAGGACTGGAGAATGTTTTAAGAGACACGAAATCTTTTTGCCTTTTTTACGGGCCATTCCCTCCGTTACACATTCCCCACCATCAATGTTTCCCCTTCCTATCTACGGGAGGAGGGTGGCTACTCTGTTACACTGCACCCCTGAAAGTAGAGTGGGTCACCAGAGCCGTGTGTGAAAATGCGACCAGGGTTCCTGCTCTTGCCGGGTGTCTCAGTCCGCTTTGTGCTGCTGTCACAGAGCACCGCAGCCTGGGTCATTGACACGCGATGGGAGTTGATTCAGCTCACAGTTCTGGAGGCAGGGAAGTCCCAGCTCGAGGGGCCGTTTCTGGCGAGGGCCTTCCTGCTGCCTCCTAAGAGGGCAGAGGGCACTACACAGGCG